GGGTGTGGGTGTGGGTGTGGGTGTGGGTGCGGGTGGGTGCGGGTGGGTGCGGGTGGGTGCGGGTGGGTGCGGGTGAGTGTAGGTGTCGGTGGGTGTGGGTGGGTGTGGGTGCGTGGGTGTGGGGGTGGGTGCGGGTGTGGGTGTGGGGCGTGGATGTGGGTGTGGGTGTGGGGTGGGTGTGGGGTGGGTGTGGGTGTGGGTGGGTGTGGGTGTGGGTGTGGGTGGGTGTAGGTGAAGAGAAGATCCACACCCACACCCACACCCACCCACCCCCACATCCTGATAGTCACACAAGTTATAGCAACAGCTTGCATTTCATTACCATGGGCAATTGCGTATATGTGTTATAATCTTCCTAGCAGTGGTAGAACCTCTGTACAACTGGCTATTATTAATTTTACCTATTCGCTTACAAATTACTGTTTCTATATGAATTATGTCAAATCATTTTATTTATCAATATTAACATCGCGTGTATTTCGACAAACGTTCATGAAAGCATTGGTCAAACTATTGCCTCACCATTTGCGTCCACAATGGCAAGTATCTCAGACTAATATGTCTATGATGATGACTGTTACAAAAATCAATCAACAAACTATAAGACGACATGCAACAGAAACAGTGCGTTGAGGACGGTTTGAAAACGTTTCATTTTTTTTGTATTGTATGGACGCTGTTCGTCTAGTAAACTGTCAATGCATGTTAACCTACAGTCGATCGAAAAATTATCCGTACATCATCTATAATTTTTTCTTTTCGCTTGTTTTATCTTATAGAAACCAACTTTGGGACTCCTATCGCTAACATCTTGTAGCATATCATACCTAATATATGTATATACTGTTATTTTTGGCTGTGAATCTCTTGCAAGTTCTGTTTTACTGAAAAATGAAGACAGACACATGAATTCTTTTATAACAAAAAAATATCCATATATATATAGAGAGAGAGAAAATGTGTATTTTATCTATTGAAACATCTAGTAATTTCTGGAGTTTTCCTGAGAATGTTCCAGAATCTTCCAATAGACAGTTTTGGAATGTTCGATAGAAAGTTCTAGAACAGTTAATTGAAGTATAAATAGAAAACTGCGTTGTTCATCGTAGTAAATATATGTCATGGCACCGAAAAAGGGTATGGATGTGGGTGTCGGTTAAAAAACACTTTTCAGACACGCACACTCAGCAATATCAATCATCGATGAAAAACTTAAGTTTAGTTGCAAATATCTCTATCATTGAAAATAACTATAGTGTTTGACTCAACCAAGTTCTTGTTCAATTGATGACGCTCACAACTGCTAACGTAACGCGAAGGTGTGAGTATGGGTGTAGTGATACGTACAGTGACGATTCACATCCACATCCACACCCACACTGAAAACTGCACAAGTGTATGCATCAACCATGAAAACATCACATGGCTTTGATAAATTTTTCTGGTCATCCTTCAGGCAAACAATGCGTGGATATTCGTAGCTAAGTAGTTGTTGCCAACATTGTGAACGATCTTTCTGTCATATTTTCAGTTTAAAATAGTTTCATTTATATACCAATCGATAGCTCTTTTGAAGCTCTACAAAATGATAGTATTGTGTGGAAATAAATTTTGGGAAAAGACACTGAACATAAGTGCACAATGATCACGGACATCAAAAAACGGCAATTTTTGCTTTGAGTTCGGTTGACATCGATTAAAATGACTTGATTGCTATTCATAAATATGACATATTTGGAATCAGCGCAAAATTTTGAATCGATCTATGTATTTTCAAACCATTCCGATAACTTTCATTTTCCTCGAAAAATTTCGCTCTGGTTTCCCACGGGTATGTGTCAAAAAATGAATTCACCGAAAAAACATCAAAAAGACTATGCGAAACGACCTATCAACTTTTAAAACTTAGATAAAACGGAAAAAAGCAAATCATGAAGTGATAAAAACGATGTTTTGATCGAATTCATCTTTTGACACATACCTGTGGGAAACCAGAGCGAAATTTTTCGAGGAAAATGAAAGTTGTCGGAACGATTTGAAAAATACATAGATCGTTTCAAACTTTTGCGCTGATTCCAAATATGTCATATTTGTGAATATCAGTCAAGTCATTTTAATCGATATCGACCGAATTTGAGGCAAAAATTGCTGTTTTTTATGTCTGTGATCATTGCGTACCTATATTCAGTATGTTCTCCAAAATTTATTTCCACGCAATAGTATCATTTTGTAGAACTTCAAAAGGGCTATCGATTGGTATATAAATGAAACTGTTTTAAACTGAAAATAAGAGAGAAAGATCGTCTCCATTCCCATGTCGCTACTTTTTTAACAGCTGCGTCGCAGTTAAGCGTAGAGTCCATTCTGCGTTGCAATTGCGCGTAACTGCGGCGCATTGATGGCAGCAAAAAAATCATATGTTCGACTACGATCGACTGCGACGCAGTTACGCGTAACTGCGAATAAAATATCGCAGTTGCGCGCAGCTACGATAAAAAATTCGCAGTTACCCATAGCTGCGCCGCAATTTTTCGCAATTACGGGTCACAGTGCGATCGCAGTTACGCGTAACTGCGTCGCAATTCGATCGCATTCGAACACATGGGTTGTGATCTTAAGCCGTCGTCCATTGATTTTGATCAATACGATGAAATCATCGCTCGCTTAATTATCAATGTGAAATTTCTCAACGAATCATGTATATCAGCATTGAAAATGACATCAAATAACAAAAAATTTTTTACTAAAATAATCAGTTTTGAAAGCTCTACAAATTCTGCAAGTTTCATTCCGATTAGAAGTAGTTATTCGTAAAAACTGTAGATCTCCGCCTCGGACGATCTCAAGGAATATAGATGAAATAATACTATTTAACAATGTTGTCTCAATATTTTAACCAAGTCAAAAGGGTGGAGAATTCTGAACTATTAGGATTGTAGAGCAAGTGACGCTCTATCGAATACACTATACCACTATATCGAGCAATCCGGCTTTCTGAAAAAATCAAGAGCTCTATCTTTCGTGCAAACGGTGACCAGTCAAGCCATTTGTGCCGTACAATTGTTTTCGAAACTCAAATCAAGTTTAGCATGGTTCGACGTGCCTTTTCACGAAGAATGCGAATATGGTCTTGGATTTTATTTTTAACTTCGTTTTAGTGAAGAAAGCTATCAAAAACCATTGGTCAAGATTGTGTAGAAAATCCATTTTTGACATTTTATTGATAATTACTGATAACAGTATTTTGGGTATATCTCCGTGAAAACAGAAGCTTTAAAAAAAAATTTTTAAATAAAAATGCTTAGAATTAAAGGCTCTACAAATGCTGAAAATTTCATCAAAATCAGAGATCACCTTTGTACAATGTGTTTGAGATCCTGTGGAAATACCCTATTGAAACAGTTTAATAATTTATAGCGTAATTTCGTGATATAGATTGAATAACCGAGAATTATGTTAGCACTATAATCATATTGTTCAAATCAATGAATAAAGTTAAGATTTCTTTTTTAATTCAGAGCTCTCGCTGAGCATCGCGTAGTGCTTGTTTCTTAGATTAACTCTATGGTTGAACATAATTCTTACTAATTTTTATACTTTTTAGCTCAAAATTAGTTTACAAAGACTCAAAATAATCATCTAAATTCGATAATTATCCAGAATAGAGATGTATGAAAAAATTATCCTCAACATGACGAAAACTATCAAAATTAATCAATTGTGACCAATGTTTGAGAGAAGAAGCTCATTCTTAATATTTGTCTTCTCGAATTTTTGTAGCAAAGCAAAATGAATTCTACTTATAGCAAAAATTTGCTAGAGTGCGAAATCTTGAGAATAATTTATTCATTTCAAAAAATCTAGCATTGTTGATCTGTTCAAATTATATTTAATGTCAGACGATTAGATCTTTCAAGATAATAATTTACAATAACAGTAACAGATAGATCGATAGAGTAAGTTCAAAGACGAACTTTCAACGAAAGAAAAGAAAAAAAATCTCAAACAACAAGAAACATATAATGAAAAATGTTTGTTTAGACAGTCCAGAATGTGCTATACACATTATTTGACAATTCAGTTCTATCCAATAGGTTGTTTTGACTAAAATGAGAAGAGAAAATATGAAAAAAAAAGAATACACGTTAAGTTATTTGATGCTATTGATAAATTCACATTTTATCCACTAAATAACACTTTTTCGTAATTTTAAATATAACCACTTTTTTTCTTTCAGGAAAATCTTTCTCAGGTCCGAATTAAAAGTACTTTAACAATCATCCTTCATTGTTTTAATACATTATAATTGTTGAAAATATTAAAGATTGTTAAGAGGCCTCTTCCTTCCGATGTTTCTCGAGAACGATTAGGGGAAAATTTTTGAAATGATTTCGATGAGTAAAATAAAAGCTGTCATAGACTCAGAATTTCCAAATGCTTTCTTCAGAAAGATTTTGGGAGGTCAAGGATCAAAAATGACCTGACGTTTGCCCTCCGGCAAATGGCTATACCACGTTCTTTTGGGCTAAAAATTTTTCTGCGACAACTAGAAACAAATCTGGGTGCGTGTTATTTTTTCTTTGAAATATATTGTTCCTGATGCTCAGAAGAAACAAAACACTGGGGCGCTATCAAAAAACCATTAAAACAAGCATCCCGATTTGATCGAAGTACTCATTAAAAAAGTTTGAGCTCAATCGGTCGTACCGTTTAGGAGAAAAGGAGGAAACACTTCAATTTGTTGTTTAAAAATCTAGTTTCGAGAAAAACGCAAAGAAACTTGCATTTTTTGGCTTTTTTAAGCATAAAATTGAGTTTTTCACATGCCAAAGGGTAGTTTTGTCTTTTTAAAATGTGCTCATTAGATAGAGAACATTTAAACCCACATACTAAACACAAAAAATGAAAAACCAAAAAACTAAAAATTTGGGGTCTCCTTCAATCGATTATCTAGTTATTTGACGAAAGATGAATTCAGTTCATTGAAGAACAAAAATCAATAATGCTTCATCATATGTGGAGGGGGTAAATACAACAATAGGAGTGTTTCGAATGTGTTCCTATAAATGGTTCAGGTTCATAAATACTTTTTTTTATATTGCACAACCAATGAGAATTTCGTATTAAACTCACTTTGTTTTTAATATTAAATTGAACACTAACATCATTACGATAATCATGACCCGAAAAATCTTCATCATCTGAAATAGTAACATTTCGTTCGAACCAAAATGATGTTACTTGACATATTTGTTGAAAATCATCTATTGCTTGATCAAAATCATCATCAAAAATATGTCCAGTACATATTAATTGAAAATTTATCAATTTTGTACAGTATATAGAAAGTAAAGATTCCCATTTCTTAGCATGAAGTAAATGATACCAACCCCATATGAATAATTTTTTAAAATTAGGTGTTTGCTTTAATAAATATTCGACACGTTCAAATGTTATATCATCGGATAATTTTACATGTAAATGAATACATCTAGGTAGTAATGGCATGACAATTATCATTGACTGATGTTGTTCATTAGATATATTATCATCAAGTAAAAGATCATCCGTATAAAATGATTTAACATTTTGTAGAGCAGGAAGTAATTTAATTAAATCATTAAAAGTCAATAGATCGATCGATATATGTTGAATATTTGTAGTTTTAGTTGTTGTAATTAGCGATGTAATTGTGGGTGTGCCTTGTCGTGTACCACAAGTACTAATAATGAAAGATTTCAATGATGGGCAATAATCTTTATTAAATATCGAATGAATAATATATTTCTTTTTCTGAACACGATTACCAACTTCCGAAATACCACAAAAAATAATTTCCAATGATTGTAGATATTTCAAAGATGAAAGTTGATTCCAGAATATAAACAAATTATCATTAGAAGAATACATAAACTTTAAAGATAATAAACGAAGATAAATTAATGAATCAAGAGAAAAATTCGAGAAAAAATGTTGTATTTCATTGGAGTTCGTAAACTTTAATGATCGAACATTAATAGCCTTCATTGATGAAAAAATATTTTTCATAAAATAATCATAAGTACCTTGCTTTGTAAAATTTAAATATAACACTGTTCGATCAATAATTTCATCAATTCTTCTATTCAAACCACGAAATGAATACCATAAATTAATTCAATTGAAATATTCAAAAATTTCTCGCCAAAGTTCTACGGATAATAGTTCAATTGTACTGTGAAATTTATCACCTGACATAATCGATCTAAAACACAAATTAAAAAAAAAGATACGAAGAACAACACATTTATCACAATTTTTGTTTTTGAGAATAACTCTATATTAGCATGATACGGACACGTGTCAGTTTATTATTCAAGGCGCAACATACTCACGCACATAGTTATCTGACTGTTAGACTATCGCTGATCATGTGAGAAGAAAAGCACACACACACACGTGTATATATGTACAGGAAGAGAAGAAAAGAAAGAGATAGAGGGTGTAATGTCGAACAAAAGTAGACGATTAATCAGTACATAGAACTACTAGTAAGAAGTGATGACAGACCGTTTTCTTACAATTAATCTTGGTGATTTTCAATAGATGTGAATTAATCGTAAAATGTCAATAGTAATCTCTCTTCAATACAAGATATAGATCATTTCAAGCAAAATGAGACATATTCATCTTCCGTATAACTTAGAATTTTTACAAGGTTTACTTTTTTCAATAAGTTCTTTTAGCATAAATATTTAGAAATGTTGACTCTTTCAGCTAAATATTAATTAATGCATTAGTTGGTTAATTAAAACGTAATTAGCAAATATCCCACTATAACAATACAAGAACAAAAATTCGAAAATTTCAGAACAGATTCTATGATACAAACTGTATCTATGAAGAAACTTACAGCACGATCAAACTTCAAAAAACTATTCTCTTAAAAATTGATTTTCTAGAGTCTCTATCAAGTTTCAAAACAAATTTTTTTTCTTTTTTTGAAACAGGATTTGTACCATTTCGAATTAACTTTGAATTTCTCGTTAGATTATAAGAGCATTTTTTCGTTTGTATATTCATACTTCATCATGTTGCTAAAGAAAAGTAAATAGATTCTTTTTTTTTTATTAGTTAAAGTCTAAGATCGAAAGAAGATTTGTTAACGTGTTCATAGTTCGATGATTTGATATTCAAGATATCTTCATATTGTGTATGATGATGGTAGATGCTACTCTTTTTTTTTGGCAACAACGCTTTTATTGATGTTAAAAGTTGACAATACATCTAAATAAAAAAAACGGAAACGGCACGAGACATGTATTGTCAGAAAAGCTGAAAATGAAGAAAAAGAAAAGAAAGCAGACACATGACGAAGGTCTTTTGTCTGTAGTAGTGTGTTTGTGATGTTGGTTGTTGGTATGAATTGGTAAGTGAGGAAGCGGTATTGTTTGTGGTTAATTACGTCGTAAATGTTGGTGGTAAACGTACATTAAAGTACTGAAGCCCAACTTCATATTATGTATGAAGTGGAAGAGAGAGAAAAAGAAATAGTAGAATACATTAAAATGATTAAGCGAATGCTTTGGCTCACTTTCATATTATATATGAGAAAGAAATCAAAGAAGAAAAGAATTACATGAATAGTGAAAACTGAATGAGCGAATACATTGGCTGACTTTCATATTATATATGAGAATGAAGCCGAGGAAGAAAAGAAATACATTAATAGTAAAAAATGAATAAGCAAAAACATTGTTGCGTTTCTTGGTATATATGAAACAATCTTGTCGTATGCGAATCCGATATAACAATTTTTGTACAGATTCGGCTGACTTAACAATGTTCTTGTTTCTCGATGATAATATTAAAATGAATGGTAGGTGGTGAATTTTTAAATTTTGTCGAATATGTCTTGCAGATGATTTTTCAGTGTAATATCGTTGTTCAAAGTTGCTGTTTGAATGGATTTTTGCAGCAATGTTGTTGCATAATCCTTGATCTTCGGGACAGTACTAATTTTGTGAATATATTCTACTGATGTATATATGGGTAGACCG